TTCCTGCTTATTTGATACAGATGCTGTGACTGTATCAGTGAAGCTTTAGTGTTGTGTGAAAGACTCCCCTGTCTTAAGAGGTGAAATCAAGCTGACCTTTCACACCAGGAATCACCTGGGGTTCACTAACTGAAGATTTTTTGTCTTGTCAGATGGAGCAGCTTATTGCATGGGGCGTATGAACTCTGATTGCTGGTATGTAATGAAGACTTGGAAATGTTTGTGACTGAAGTTGTAGTTAACTCAGTGCTGGTGATACTAGTTACATGTGGTTTGTATTGTGTGTAGGTACCTGTACACCCTGGATTTCCCAGAGAGTCGGATATCCAATCAGCCTGATCAGACACTGGAAATTCTGATGAGTGAGCTTGACCCAGTAGTTATGGACCAGTTCTACATGAAAGATGGTGTTACTGCAAATGATGTCACTCGTGTATGTTTGCTTGAAAACTCACCATTTTGGGGAAGGGTGGAAATGGGGCAACAAAAGGCTTCACTTAGCACTTAATGCAAAGTTTATTTTTTTGGAGGAAAGATGTGATGGAAAAAGTCAGGTTCATGGTTTGGGGGGTAACATGGATTTAACTCTAGCATGGCTTTTGGGGAATATAACTCTGCATTTTCTATGTCCCTTCTTTAATTTGTTGAGAGGGGCAATCTGCAGTGCTCTGGGTGATTGGAAGCTTAACTTCAGAAAAATGGAGGAACATGAATAAAACAGAAAGGATTGACTAACACTGATGGATGGAGATTATGAGGACTTAAACTGAAGTTAATGACTGCCAAGGGAATCGGGGGATCAAAATTAAGGTTAAATGCTGGAGCCATTTGGGGGAGTGGGTGGATTTAAAGTAAGCATAACTTGATGGTTTTGGCTCCTTTTTCCAAATGGGAAAGTCCTGGGACATTAAAAAGTTTCTCTGACAAGTCCATGGACTTCATCCGGTTTTTCTCCTTAGACTTTGATTCTAATACTGTTATTTGCTAGAGCTTTGGCCCTGGCTCAGATGCTCTGTGGGAAATGAAAGTGCTTGGGATTGCATTTCAGTGTTGAGTATGAAGTATGTTCTCACTCTGGAGTGCATGTAAACAGCCTTCAGTTTGGGATGCTGGCTGAGCAGGAGCTCCAGTCAAGTTGCAGAAGCAATTCTACACCTGAATCCTAAACTGTTTCCTGCTCTGAGAGGTATCCCAGGGGGTTTTGTAAGAGGCAAATATCTGTAACTTGTGTGCAACTTGGCACTTGTTCCCTTGGTAAATGACAGGTTGCAAAGCCAGTCCATCTACAGTGATACAAATATCAAACTCACTTGTTACTGGGAGAATTCTGGTGTCCTGCCCCTTAATATCTGGTGTTGATTCTGCCTTTGAGGGACATTAAACACGTGTAAGGATGTCATGATGAAGTGAGTGATGGAATTTTAACTTGTGTTTCAGATGAGTGGAATTCGTGACCTGATACCAGGTTCTGTTATTGATGCTACAATGTTCAATCCTTGTGGGTATTCAATGAATGGGATGAAATCGGATGTAAGTTTTACACTTATTGATAATTAATTTTAAAATAAATAGTAGCTATGTGGCAGTAATAATATATTAATTTTTTTTTTTTCAGGGAACTTACTGGACTATTCACATCACTCCAGAACCAGAGTTTTCTTACGTTAGTTTTGAAACAAACATCAGTCAAACCTCCTATGATGACCTGATCAGAAAGGTTGTAGAGGTTTTCAAGCCAGGAAAATTTGTGACAACCCTCTTTGTTAATCAGGTGGGTTTCCTTGCAGTAGCTTCCCAGCTCCTGAGATTTACAGAGGTACAAACAAAGCAAGGCTAGAGATTTTTTACTGGGGCATTAGTAGTTTCCAGTTTGACTCTGCATCTGGATTGTACCTTCTTTGGAAAGTCAACATACTCCTTGTGTTGCTTGGGCAGCCCAAGCTCAGCATTCCAACAGTTTCCTGCCCTGCTGTGTAGAGGCAGAATTTCTTGCTTTGGCAGGCCTGCACTACAGCTGATCTCCAGAGCTGAACCAGCAGGATGGGGCAGCCCAAGCTCAGCATTCCAACAGCTTCCTGTGCTGCTGTGTAGAGGCAGAATTTCTTGCTTTGGCACTTGTTGGGTTTGGCTGCAGTTGTGGCAGTGGCAGAAGTGCTGCTGTTGGTGGTGATGCTGCCAGCCAAGGAGCCCAGAACAGAAGTTCCATATGTGGCAGAGTCACTGCTTGGGATCACAGCTTCCTGCAGCCTTGTCAGGCACAGCTCTGAGTGTGGGGCTGTCACAAGAACCACACACAACATGCTGCGTGAGTCCAGCTTTCAGTGCTAGCTTTATAAGTAACTTGGATTTTTGTTTGTTTTCTAGAGCTCTAAATGTCGTACAGTGTTTTCTTCTGCCCAGAAGATTGAAGGGTTTAAACGTCTTGATCACCAGATTGCCCAGTTCAGTGATTACAACTTTGTGTTCACCAGTTTCACCAAGAACCGGCAGCAGCAGCACAGCTGATTAGGAATGAAGAAAAAGCGCAAAAAGAAATCCCGTGGAGGAGGAGGTGGTGGTTGCTTTCTAGGGAATGATTCAGGGGGCCATGCTTTCCACTCCCACCACCTCGTAGTTGTGGAAAGCCCTAGGTGTAATCATAGTATAACCATTTTGAATTGTATGCATTATTATATCAAGGAGTTAGGTATCTTGCATGAATGCTCTCTTCTGTGTTTAGGTACTCTATGCCACTCTTGCTGTGAAATTGAAGTGCATGTAGAAAAATCTTCCTGTATGAAACTTTACAACACTTGTAAAAATGATTCAGGTAGAATGACACACAGTGTAGTTTTTCTCCAGGTATCACCAAAAATTCCCCACAGACAAGGCTTCCGTCCTCATTAGACTGGAGCCTCACCCTGCTCACTGGGGACAGGTCTGTTCAATTGTCACTTTTTTCATCTGTGTTGTGATTTCAGTCTAAAACAGTTTTCGACAAACTTTCATGATTTCTAATGAAACTTGATTCCTAATTAACACTTTCATGTTTTGGAGAGAGTTCTTAAAACAGTTAAAAATCGTTTTGCTAATTCAGCTGGTGGTTGATTTATTTTTAAATCAGACTGACTTGCCATGCTCTGCTCAAGCTGACAGGAGCTTGCTCAGCTCTGCTGCAGCACTGGGCTAATGCATCTTTCAGCTTGAGGAACCTGGGTACTAATGCAGGTTAAATTTCGTCTTGCCTTGATGCTGGTCTGTCTGCCCACAGCCCCAGGCTGTCATGCTGCTGCTGCACAATGGCAGAACTTAAAGAAGGTCCAAGACTTGAGAGAGGAAGAGCTGAGTCAGGATCCCAGGGCTATGGCATAGCTGTGTGACAGCAGAGCACAAGGTCATGTTGGCACCAGGCATTTTCTTTCCTAATCAATTGTCAGACCAAGAGGCTGGTGCCCATGAGCACTGGCAGGTGTATTGAGTGAGGGAGTGGGATGTGCTGGGCTGGGTGTACTGGTTGGTTTGGGTTGTTTCAGTAAAACCTGTCACCTACCACTTCTGGCTGCAAAGAGTGCTGCTCAGCTGGTCCAGTGTCACTTCATTTTGTTGTTCCAAGCAAAGCTAATGCCTCTATCTTGTGACAGTCCTGTGACATTGTTGTGCATGTGACTTATGTTGTATTTGAGTGTTGTGACTTCATCTGTTTTTTCCTACTTACTAAGGTGGTTCCTCTCACTGTGACTTGAGGGCATTAAGTACAGGCATAGAACAAGAACTGTCTGGGACACCTGGACAGAAGTGAAGCAGAATGCTATTCATGGAACATGGATAAGGCTGTAATTCAAAGTCACTTTAATGGGTATTGACTAAAATGCAGGCTTTAAAGAGCTGGCACACTTCCAGCAGTGTTTGCAAATACTGTTATTTTAACAGCTGTGAGACCAGCATGTGAACTAGGAGATTGAGATGATTTTCCCCCTCTTGTCCTTGCAGTGTTTTGACTCTTCCTGGTTTGACACTGGTTTTTGTTCCCTCCGTATTTATAAGTGAAGCACCTTTTCAGTGCTTCTGAACTAAAGTCTGCTTGGTTAGAAATCAAGTGGTTGGAACATGTTGAGTTTTTTATTTTGAGCATATTGTTGATGTTCTTTACCAGTGTTACCAATTACATGCTGTAAATGGCACTAATGCTTTTTGGTGTTAATACTGAGGACCAATATTTCAGTTGTTTTTTTGTTCTTAAAACATTGTCCCAACTAACCTGACATTTGTTGGCTTGAGGTCCTTTAAGTAGCCTGAAGATCCCTTTCCAAGTAATACTGAAATACACATTTTACAAATAGAAGCATAAGCCTTGGCTATAAAAATGGAAGCTGTTGAATGGATTATTGAATTATCTAGGGTGATCAGGATGGGGGAGTATGGTGTTGATAATTTCTGTGGTGTTAGACTTTGATCATTTAAAAATACCTGTACCACAACTTAATGCTTCAATAAAAATTCGCTTACATTGTTTGTAGTCCTGATCCAGCAGCTCCGCCCTTCACACTCCTGTTGTTTGGTACCACGTGGTTTAATTCTGAAATAGATTTGTCTTGCCTTAAATTACTTTAAATATACTTTGCCCTTGCAGTGGTGGATGCATCTCAGCTGTTCCCATTGGGTAGCTGAAAATGAGACAGTGTCACAGGAAGCCAGATGAAAAGGGTACTTTTCCTGAAGTTAAAACTGCTGGTCCCAATGAACCAAAGACTTGAGATTTGCCTTCATGTGACAGGTATTTTTTTCCTCAGCATTAAATATTTGAAATATTCCTCTGAATGAAGACTCTCCTTCTGCTGATCTCAAGTACCCAGCTGTAGGTTAACAAGCTACTTCAGTGTTGAGAATTGAAGGTGAAGTTGGTCTCAGGATGAGACAGATGTGTGTGCCACATGCATGTCAGGTTTTGTGGTGCCAGGACACCTGCTTGATCCATCAGTTTTTAAAGCAAACTTGTCTGCTTTAACTTTGTGTCTAGGGGGTGCATTGCTTTTCCCCTTGGTAGCCTGTCCTTCCTTCCGTGTTCTGTGGGCTTTCTACATTTCCGCTCAGTCTGGAGTGATGAGTGCTGGGGTCACAGTGTCCCAGGAGAAGAGGTGAACTTCAAAGCTAATGGAAGCAAAAGTCTGAGGAATCAAGATCACACTGGTTGCTGCAAAGCTGGAGGGTCTCCTCTTGGGTTGTGGAGAGGAATGGACAGAGTGCAGATAGTGTGATTATTGGAGAGATGCTAGATGGGAGGAGGTGGATCTGATGGATGGACTGTTTGGTGGGTGAGGAATTTGTTGGGTGGTCACATCCGGAGAGTGGTGATCAATGGTTCAGTGTCCAGGTAAAGACTGGAGACAAGTGGTGTCCTCAGGGGTCTGTGTTGGGACCAGTGCTGTTTAATACCTTCATCAATGGTGGGATCAAGGGCATGCCCAGCAAGTTTGTAGATTACACCAAGCTGGGTGGTGGGATTGATGTGCCTGAGGGACAGGATGCCCTCCAGAGGGACCTGGACATGCTGGAGAAACAGCCCTGTGTGAGCCTTGTGAATCAATGCCAGCAGTACCCAAATGCTGAGGCTGTGCTCCAGAAGTGTGGAGCTCTCCCAGGCTGTACAGCCAAAACTGGCAGAGGCAGAAAAAAAATTGCTTCCAAGCATGTTCTGTATCATCTGGAGCCTGTTGTAGGGCTGTTCTCCATAGTGCTAAAGGAGAGATGGGTCAAAGCCTAGGAAGAGCAGGATGGTTCTGTGCTGGCCTGTTGAGCTCCCATGTAATGACAATTCAGGAGGGGAGTTAATGAGCAGCTGAGGAACTGATCTGACTTTGCTACATGGAGGTCTCACTGGGCAAACCTGGGTCCATTTTTGAAGGGGAGATAGAAAAGCAGCTCCCTCGTGTTGAGAGCTCGTCAGCTGGACCAGCCCGACTGTGGACACAGTACTTGGGCTCAGCCACCCAGTTCATACCATTTCATTTAGCCACTGCCAGGTAAAAACTCAAGTCACCTGAGCTGCTGGTAGCCTTGTTATAGAATGTGCCCACTTCTACAAAGGAGAGGCAGCAGAATTCCAGAGACCCAAATAAATGCAGATTCAGTTGTGTGCAAAAAGTATCTAAATATTGGGACAACACCTGCTGTCAATTCACTGCTCAGTTTCCTCCAGTCTTGAGAACAAGCATTTGGAGACAGAAAACAATGGGATGCTGCTTTCAAACCACTTCTATAATAATTAAATATTAGCTTATTCCATGATCAGAACCTGCAGACATCTATGTGTAAGCTTCATGAAGCAAACCCTGTTGCCTCTGAAATGAATACACTAAAAAAAAAGATAAAAGAATTTTACTTTAAAATGTCTTTTATAAACAGTTGAATTTAGAGTCTTAAGTATCTCAGAGCACTCTCAGTGAACCCCTTTCACTCATGGCTTCTGCTACTACTGATGAAAGGGGAAGGGGTGGACCACTGGCTGGGAGCTGCAGTCAATATTTAGTCTTGTAAATTCAAGCCCTGGATCTCAGTGGAATGACTTACCTGGACTATGTTCCATAATGGAATTGTACCTCAGTGCAACAGCCCTCCAGAACATCTTAACTTCATATGGATGTCAGAAGTCATGGTGCATTTTGAGTGAAATGCTCCTCAGCAACTGCAATTCAGAAATGCAGGAGACTTGAGAACAAACTGCCCAAAAAATAAACATAGCTTTGAGAGTGAATAAACTGATAGCACTACTCTTAAATATGTTTGGCCACTTATGAGTCACTAAGACAATGAAGTTACAGTTAGAAGACTGCACAGCTGTTGACACAACTGCAGATTTCATCTTGTCTGAGAACCTATTTTGTATTGGGGTGATTGTTCTTATTTCACAATTAAAAGGAATTGCTGTGCAAATGGATCACTATAGGATCACTGCTTTATAACTGCAGGGATGTTAATATGTGCTTGCTAAGTTCTGATCTGAGTTTGTAAAGTAGCCACAGATGTGGAAAATCTGACCTCACTGGTTTGATTCCCATATCTTAAGTTTCCTTGTCTTGCTGCATGGGCAAAAGTAGGATTTTGGGTGTTTGTTTTACGTTGTTAAAAAGGCTGTACCAACAAAGCTATAAAGAGAGGAACAAACCAGCAGGGGATGAAGCAGAATCGTTAGCTGCACTTGAAGTTCTACGTTCCAGCCCCTGCAGCTTCACAGCCACCTCCAGTCCTACTCCCTGTGTACCTGCCAGCTTTACTGGCCTCATCTTCAGCAGCACATCATCCTCAGGGTTAGACAATGTTTAGCTAAGTACAAGGTCAGAGTTCCAATTACAAAGTTAGAATCCAGGTTCTACAAGTAGATAAAACTAGACTAGACTGAACTACCAGATTCCTCCTCAGCTGCTCAGGTGTCCTGCAGCCAGAATCCTTAGCAGCACAGGCAGCACTAACATATTTTCCACACTAGTTTTAAAACTAAGCAGAGAGCCTAAGCCCTTGAGGGCTGCTCTCTATTGGCAACCCCCTCCACACCCAGTGCCTCCTCTTTGTTAAAGATGCCGTTCTTCTGTTGTTGGTTCATTATGCCTTTCTGAAGCAAAGACAGCGGTGCTGCATTAGCTGAAGGGGAAGAGTGTGGTTTTATTCAGCTATTAAAGCACTTCCAGTACTGGTACAATATCCTGCAGGGCAGAAGGAGTACTCATTGTGTGGTCATTTGACTAGACACCAAGATTTGTTTTCTTTATATGCTGCATACTGCCTAGAACCATCTTGCCAGCTGGGTTATAGATGGGGCATCTTCCAAACCATCTCCCTTGCAACCCAAATGTGCTCGTTTCTAGGGTTCTGTACAGACAGATTTCACAGACACATTCAGAAAGCACAAAAGTTTGGGGTTTTTTCATATTTGAAGATCTAACATTCCATAGTTTCTAATTTTCACCACCCTCACACTCACACCACCTCACACTCCTTCATGCACTGGAAGGTGCTCTAAGGTCTCCCTGGAGCCTTCTCTTCTCCAGGCTGAACAGCCCCAGGCAATTCCAGAAAAATACGATTAAGTAAGTTACTCCTTCCTGTCACAGCAGGGGTGCTTTAGATGGGGTGCTGGAGCGAAGCTGCCATTTCTAACAACAAGATAAAGCTGCAGAGGCCTCAGGCTGTAACTTCGAAGCTCCAGGACCTACAGCCAAAGGGCACTGAGCAGGAAGGTGACAGGACTGCTGAAAACAAAAGCAACCCAACAGCCATCCTGGTCGCTGGCTGTGCTCTTCTACAATTAATGTTGGCTTTAATGTTAGTATTTAATTTGTCTAGCTGTGTTGTCACTGGTTTAGGCAGATAATAAACTGTAAATTTAAGAGGTTTTAATATTCTAGTTTTAAGCTTTGTA